CCCCACTCACACTCTGTCTCTCTCTCTCTCAAAAATAAACATTACCTAAATAAATAAATAAAAGTTGGTTGGTTGAACTCAGCGTCCACACAAGGTCTACACATTGCTTTTGGTTGGTGTGCCTCCTTTCTACATAGTCCCCTCCCCCTCCTTTTTATTCTTGTCTTCATTGTTGCTTTGTTTACGTGCAGTTAATTAGTTGGAGAGACCAGGTTCTACAGGACAGAGGCCCAGCTAACTTGTTCTGTAAAGGGCCAGAGAGTACATGTTTTACGCTTTGAGGGCTATATAGCTTTTGTCACAGCTCTTCGAGTCTGCTTTTGCAGTGCAAAAGCAGTCACAGACAGTGTGCAAACAAGCGGGCATGTCTGTGTTCCAATAAAACTTTATTTACACAAACAGGCGGTGGGCCATTGTTGGCCAATACCCACTGTAGAAGGCCCCACCTTCTGGGTGTGGCTAGCTGCTTTTTCGTGGTGTGGTACGCTTGTACTTCGATCCCTGGTATTTCTACTTAGATTCAAGGAACTGGCTGATCAGATTCGGGTTCAGCTGTTGGGGCATAAACACTCCACGGGTGGTAATCTATGCTTCCCAAAACGCCACCTCCCAGGGCAAAAGATGTCTGCTTGCCATGAGCTGTTTTTTTTTTCTTAATTTTTTTTAAGTTATTTTTGAGAGAGAGAGAGAGAGAGAGAAAGAGCATGAGCCAGGGAGGGGCAGAGAGGGGGGCAGGTACAGAGGCTCTGAAGCAGGCTCTGTGCTAACAGCAGAGAGCCCGATGCGGGGCTCGAACTCACAAGCTGTGAGATCATGACCTGAGCTGAAATCAGACTCTTAACCTCCTGAGCCACTCAGGAGCCCCTGCCAATAAGCTGTTTCTTATGCAGGAATTTTACTCATGCCATCAGTGCTGGCACAGATGATTCTTTTCTAGCTATGGAGATGAATTGAAGGTGATTCCTTCTGACAATTTGTAAATATGTATAAAAAGCCTTAAAATTTAACTCAGCAATTTCACTGCTGAAAACGTATCCTCGAGGAAATGATTCAGCACGTAGGAAAATACGTTACTGCAAGGATGTTCATCGCAGCACTAACTATAATATCGACAAACAAGGAGCCAAGCTGGTCACCCAACATTATGGGAACGATCGCAGAGCAATCATGTGGGAAGCACCATGCAGCTGATAAAAACCATGGTGTGGAAGCATCCCATTTAAAAGAGTTTATGACATTTTGTGGGGCGGGAAAGCAGCTTTAAAGTCAGGACGGATGGGTAGATAGCTAGATATTGTTTACGTACATGTGCTATAAGAGTCAAAGTGCATAATGATGACTAACTTCTATTGATCCCTTGCCACGCTCCGGGCACTTCTTGGAGCATTTTATATTAACTCACACAATCCTTAGAGCAACCTTATAAAGCAGGTGGTATTATTTTCCTCGTATGACAGATGAGGACACTGAGGCACAGGGAGGGTAAATAAACACACCCAGGATCACAAACGCTGGTAAGTGGCCAAGGCAACATCTGACCAGGGAATCTGAATCCAGAACATAGAAACACTGTGGTACCATGCCCATTGGGGCAGGAGGGAAAAGTCTGGAAGGTATATGCTCAGCTGTTAATCATGGTTACCCATTATGGGAAAGCTTCTCGGTTTTCCTGTATTTTTTTTTCTATTTGTATTTGCAATTCCCTGATTTTTTTTTTTAAACCTAGCTTTAAAATATTACAGGCTCATTCTCCCTAGCAAACTTGCATTCTCTAACACAGAGAGTTCTCTCGCATCCTTGTGGCTCAGGCCACCCTGTCCCCAGCTGAGCGAGTGACGGGTCATGTACAGAGCGGCTCAGTCCCCATCCTGTTCCCAGCACCTTGGCCAACCTTGCTGGGGGACAACAGCAGGACGTGCTCCCTGGAGCTGGCACCCCACGTTATGTTGACAGTAATAGTTGTATTTCCTCAAGAATCATTCCAGAGGGGATATTTCTTATTGTCAGGCCCGGGCGTGTGTGTAATTTCTCAAGTCCCCCTTTGTACTGACTGACCGAAGCTAAAGTGATTTTTTGGACACTGAAGTCAATTTGTCACAGTGATGCATTGATCTAATGATTCCCCTCATAAAACTAATTCCAAAATGCAGTCTGTGCGGAAACGTTAATTCTTTTTCCAGCTGTAATCTTTTAACCTCCTCGGAAGATTACCTTTTGCCGGCTCTTTTGTGCTGGCTGCTTGGCAGTCGCTTCTGGCCAAAAGCAACACGCCTCTGACCTAGACCTGAGATAGAGGTGTGACGGCTTCGTGTGCTAACCCTCCCGGACGGAGCACCTGCCACGGGGACGGTGGGCTGGGGGCTGATCGGGCGCCCACCGTGCTCTGGCCCCAGACCAGCCCCGGGGCGTGGGGGGGGGGGGGGGGTGGGGAAGGGGGGGTACTCTGCCGCCTTTGGAACTCTCCTCCAGATCCGCCCTGGGCTGAGCCCCAGAAGTGCCCCCTATTTCCCTACCTCTCTTTACTGACTGGTTCTTCTTACTCTCAGGTACGTCTGGGAGAAGGATGGGGCCACCCTGGGCATGGAGAGCAACCCCCGCATCCGTCTCGACAAAAACGGCTCCCTGCACATCTCGCAGACGTGGTCAGGGGACATCGGCACCTACACCTGCCGGGTGCTCTCAGCCGGGGGCAATGACTCTCGAAGTGCCCACCTGCGCGTCAGGTAAGGGGGCAGCCTGCCCGGGCCCCCCCCCCCAACCGCAACTCAGTGAGGCCTTCTGTCAAGAGCAGAGGAGTCTGGGGACAGGTAGGACAGGTAGGCCCGTAAGCCAGGGAGCAGAGCCTCCAGGTGGCCGGCCCGAAGGCCGAGCTTGGCGGCTGAGGCATCTCGAAGTTCAGTCTGAGCCCTGGTGCCCGTGTGTCACCTGACTCCAGACCTCACAGCCGGCCCCGCCACACCTCTCTCCCCCAGGCAGCTGCCCCACGCCCCCGAGCGCCCTGTGGCGACCCTCAGCACAGCGGAGAGGCGGGCCATCAACCTGACGTGGGCCAAGCCCTTCGACGGCAACAGTCCCCTGCTTCGCTACGTCCTGGAGATGTCGGAGAACAGTAAGGCTTCCCGCAGCAGCCAGCCGGAGGCACGGGCTTGGGGAGGTGGCCCGGGGCCGGGATCCAGCTCCCCCACGTCCCAGTTCTCTGCCTTTGAGCAGACCTTCTGGAGGCCTCCACGTCCCTGCAGAACGAGCGATGGCATCCGCCTCCTCGGGCCGCTGTGGCCGTTGAATGAGATCATGTCTGTGAGGTGCGGGACTCAGGACCTGCCTCTCTAGAGCCTCCAAGGCCGTGGCGACTCTTTTTCTTCTTTAGTCTCCAGACTGGGACCTGCAGAATTCACAGGCCTTGTTTCAGGGGCATTTTCAATACAGTTTGCCTGGAGCTCATCGATTCGAGGGGGGAGAAAAAAGATAGAAAAGACACCTGCCATCTCTGTTCCCATGAGTCCTTGCTCCCTCCCCAGGACCCTCCAACCCCCTGGGACACGTGGGCTAAGGGGACCCAGGAAAATGACGTGACCAGCCTCTGCCGGATTGAGTTGGGGGAGGCGCGCCTCTGCTGGCCCAAACGGGGCTGGGGGTAAGGAACACGGCCCCCGGGATGTCCACCTCTGCCTGCACCCTCTGTCCTTGTAGATGCCCCCTGGACCGTGCTCCTGGCCAGCGTGGACCCCGAGGCTACCTCCGTGATGGTCAAGGGCTTGGTGCCCGCACGCTCCTACCAGTTCCGTCTTTGTGCCGTCAATGACGTGGGGAAGGGACAGTTCAGCAAGGACACGGAGAGGTGAGCGGAGCACGTGCTCTCGCCCAGTGGGTCTCGGTGACCCCATTGGCCGGCGGGGCTGAGGGGGGCTGCCTACGGCCGAGACCAGTATGGCCACGCGGGGCCCGCTGTGTGCAGATTCTGGGGGCTTTGGTGTCCACCTCTGTCGAAAGGGGTAGCGTCACTCACACCTGCCTCACGGGGATGCCGCCAAGGTGAAAGGTCACCCGGGGGAGGTTCCGTGAGCAGTGCCCGGGGCAGGATCAGCACCGATTTAATGGTCCCTCTCACTGGGAGCCGAGCGAGTTCAAAGACTCCCCTCGCTCTGCTCTGCCTCCCCTATCGGCCGCCGTCACTGTTACGTGCACGTGACAGATGTCCGTATCCAGTGCCTCGCAAGACGCCAGGTCTGGTTAAGCTTTTGGCGAGGCTGTTTTAAAGATGATGAAAATTGAGGAAAAACAGAGGGTCGTCCATTTTCGAGCATCACCCGGTAATACCCGCTTCCGTAGGAGGCGACTGATTCTGGCCACTTAAGTCCTGTAACCAGGTGGTCACCTCTGGGGAGAAAGAAGCCATGCAACAAGAGGGCAGAGTGACAGTGACACAAATCCCATGCACCAAAGCATTCCTTTTCTTATGTTTCTCTTCACTTTTTCCAGATGTATTGAGATTCTAATTGACATGTGACACGGTGTGAATGAGTTGAAGGCACAGTGTTTTGATTCGATAGATTGTATGTTCCCATGTGATCAGCACCACAGCGTTAGCTGACACGTCCATTTCTTTTTTGTGGTGAGGACACTTTCGACCTCCTCTCTGAGCAACTTTCAAGTAGACGATACGGGACTTTCAGCTATCATCCCCAGGCTATACTTCAGATCCCCAGGATTTGTTAAGCTTATAACTAGAAGGCTGTAGCCTTGACCAGTATCTTCCCATGTCCCTCCTTCACTAGCTTTCGGTAACTACCACCCTCCTCTCTGTTTCTCTTAAATTCAGCTTTTGTAGACCCCGCGTACGAGATCGCACAGTGTTTGTTGGTGCAAATGGTCCTTCTTTCTCATAGCTGAATAATATTCCATCGTATTCATCTACCACATCTGCTTGATGGACCCATCCATTGACAGATACGTAGGGTGTTTCCACGTGCAGACAGATCTTCGAGATCCTGTGTTCATCTCCTGTGGATGGATGTTTTAAAAATTTGTTTTTTTTGGGGGGCGCCTGGGTGGCGCAGTCTGTTAAGCGTCCGACTTCAGCCAGGTCACGATCTCGCGGTTCGTGAGTTCGAGCCCCGCGTCAGGCTCTGGGCTGATGGCTCAGAGCCTGGAGCCTGTTTCCCATTCTGTGTCTCCCTCTCTCTCTGCCCCTCCCCCGTTCATGCTCTGTCTCTCTCTATCCCAAAAATAAATAAATGTTGAAAAAAAAAATTTTTAATAAAAATTTGTTTTTAATGTCTGTTCTATTTTTGAGACAGACAGAGTGCAAGTGGGGGAGGGGCAGAGAGAGCCAGAGTCCCAGAATCCAAAGCAGGCTCCAGGCTCCGGGCTGTCAGCACAGAGCCCGACGCGGGGCTCGAACTCATGGACCGCGAGATCATGACCTGAGCTGAAGTTGGACGTTCAGCTGACTGAGCCACCCAGGCGTCCCATCCTATGGATGGATTTTTTAATCTTTTGTGGGGCTGCCATTTTGTTTTCCACACTAGCAGCACCCACAGTGCACGAGGGTTCCCTTCTCTCCACATCCCTGACAATGCCTGTTCTGTCTTGTCTTTTTGATTTTCCATGAGAGCTGATCTACGAGGTGTGGGGTGACACCTCACTGGTTTTCATTCACATTTCCTTTTCACCCACCTGTTGGTCATCTGTGTGTCTTCGTGGGGAAAATGCCTGTTCAGATCTGCCTATTTCTAATTCGGGTTGGGGGTTTTTTGTTGTTGGTGTTTTGGGTTACTTATTTATTTATTGCAATTGGGTTGTATGAGTTCTTTATATATTCTGAATATTAGCCCCTTATCAGATATATGGTTTGCAGATTTAGCGTTTCATTTTGTTGGTTGTTTCTTTTGTCGTGCAGGAGCTTGTTCATTTCCTGTGGTCCCACTTACTTATCTTTGCTTCTATTGCCTGTGCTTTGAGTGTCGTCTCCTGGAACCCACTGCCCAGACCAACATCAAAAAGCTTGTCCCGGGGCGCCTGGGTGGCGCAGTTGGTTAAGTGTCCGACTTCAGCCAGGTCACGATCTCACGGTCCGTGAGTTCGAGCCCCGCGTTGGGCTCTGGGCTGATGGCTCAGAGCCTGGAGCCTGTTTCAGATTCTGTGTCTCCCTCTCTCTCTGCCCCTCCCCCATTCATGCTCTGTCTCTCTCTGTCCCAAAAATAAATAAATGTTGAAAAAAAAAAAAATT